AACTCTACTCACTCCTGCTTTGAAACATTTGATGTTAAAAATATCAAATCAAAATGGTTGAGTGAGAAATTCATCAGTAATTTTCAAACTGATCCTAAAAGAAGTGTGAAAGGCTGGAGACTAGATGTTATTCATAAGTTGAATGTGAATATATCTAAGGATCAAGCCTATAGAGCTAAGAGAAGAGCTCTTGCACAACTTGAAGGACATCCTGATGATCAATTTTCCCAATTGTGGGATTATGCAGAAGAGTTAAGGACTTCAAACCCTGGATCAACAGTGATACTTGCCACTGAGAAGGAGAATGGTGAAGAGAGATTTAGCAAATTCTATATTTGCTTTAATGCTCTGAAAGAGGGGTTCAAAGCTGGATGTAGGCCTATAGTTGGTGTTGATGGATGCCATTTGAAGGGTCCACATAGAGGGATTCTTTTGAGTCCAGTGGGTGTAGACCCAAATAATAACCTTTTTCCTATTGCTTTTGCTGTTGTTGGAATTGAATGCTTTGAAACATGAAAATGGTTTCTCATAATCTTAAAGAAGGATTTAGGAATCAGTTGTCCTGAGCATTTTACATTCATTTCTGATAAGCAAAAAGGTCTTATCAAAGCTTTTGACACTGTTTTCCCTGGAGCTAGTCACAGATTTTGTGTCAGACATCTTCATAACAACTTCATGAAGGCAGGTTTTAGGGGAATGGCCTATAAGCATGCAGTTTGGAGAGCAGCACAAGCCACAACTGTAGGGGAGTTTGTTTGTCCTGTTTTTGTTGCTATTTTCGTTGTTATTTTGTGTGTCGTTTCCCCCGTTTTGGGTCTTTTTTCTTAGGCATTTTCGGTCCTCTTTGTCATTTCTTATGCTCTTATCTTTATTCCGGTGTGTTTAGTATTTTCTTTGCTTTCCTTCTTTTTTTCTCTTTGTTTTTCGTGTTTTTCCGGTTGTGGTGATCTCAGGTTTTAGGTTGCTCGGATTGGAGTGCATTCAGTCGAGAGGAGAGCGTGTTGATCGAACATCAATTTGTGGGCTCAAACTTACGAGAATCGAGTTTCCCGCTCGGGCAGTACCTGAGAGACGCTAGCCGAGCTTACAAGCCCGTAATGTGAAGTTTTTGACGCTGTCCAGCCCTTAGCGCCGCTAAGAAGCCTTAACGCCGCTAAGGTCAGTTGGTT